TCCGTCTAAAGCTCAAAAAAGTGTGCATTCATGAAAGAAGAAACGAAATATCTTGGTTTCAAAATCACTACAAAAGGTCTAATGGCAGACCCGGATAAGGTAATTGCTATACGGGGAATGTCAGCACCGACTTCTGTCAAGGAAGTGAGGTCATTTATAGGAGCAATGTCATATTATCGACGCATAATACCGAATATGTCCAAAATTGCAGAACCATTGATAGATTTGACTAAGAAGTACGCGAAATTCAAATGGACTGACGAATGCCTAAGGCCTTTGACTATCTTAAGGACAGTCTGACGACGATACCTATGTTGGGATATCCCAATGCTGACCTGCCGTATGTACTCTATACAGACGCAAACGACACCTGTATCGGAGCCTGCCTAACACAAGTTGTAGACGGAATTGAAGTACCGATATATTTTCTGAGCCACAGATTAAGGAAGACTCAAAGTAAGTGGGCAGTGTGTGAGAAGGAAGCTTACGCCATTTCCTATAGTCTCCAAAAATTAGATTATTATCTCCACAATGCACAGTTCTTAGTTAAAACTGACCATAAACCACTGAAATACCTTCTGGAATCGCCAATGCAGAACAAAAAGTTACAACTTTGGGCATTGAATATATCAGGTTACAACTGTAAAATTGAGTATATACCCGGCGAGACAAATACGGTAGCGGATATGTTATTGCGCATACCAAGTGATTCGACAGACATAGGACAAAAGGACGATTCAGACGATAGTGAACCAGAAATAAGCAATAACACTTTCAAAATAAATGTACTTAATAGTAACAAGTTTAATCCAGGAGACTATGATGATTGTGTCAACGATATTTCAATAGGGTCAACAGACACACCTGAAGTTAATGATAGTTTAGCGAATATAGATATGAGAGTAGAGCAAACAAAATACGAAAGCATTCAACTAATCTAAAAAAGATTAACCCAAAATCAAAATCAGTCAAGTGTAAACAATAAATACATTATAATGGAAGATCTATTATATTTTATATCGACCCCGACAGAGAACCTCAAACAAGGTTATATATCCCCAAACAAAGCAGGATCAAAATTCACACCCAGGCATTGACAAAACGTACGCTACAATAAAAGTAAAATATTTTTGGCCAAAAATGTACAAAGAACTGTTGTATGAGTACATTGTCACATGCCAAATGCGATCAACTGTAAGGAATAAGTCGGATACAATTGAAACTGGAATTCCCCCGTATCCCATGGCAAAATTAAGTCTAGACCTCTCAGGACCGTATCCTACTATACTCTCGGGTAACAAATACATAATTAGCTTCGTATGTTGATATTCGCGATGGGTAGAATCATTCCCCGTTAAGGACAAAACAGCAGAAAATGTTGCTCATCTCATAATAGAAGAAATATTTCCACGATTTGGCTGCCCTTTGGCAATCGTTACAGACAACGGTACCGAAAATGAAAATAGAATTGTAAGAGAAACTTTAGACAAGCTCAAAATTAAACACATATTAACATCATTTTATTCAAAATCAAATGCCAGAGTAGAAAGAAACCATCGTACTCTACATGACATGTTAGCAAAAGGAGTAATCTCAAACCATTCAACCTGGGATATATTTCTTAACCAATGTTTAAGCGCGATTAGATGCAATGATCGGTGCGGTTCATTCGATATATATAACTATTTATTTTCAATAAATTTATGTCACAACTACAATGGAAAATACATTTAGAACCCTTTACAAGTAGATCACAGAAACGGCCTCAAATTCTTGACTTATGACCAGGTAAAGACCCATTTTCATATCATGTCAGACTCTCAAGTAAGTTGAAAACAATTGGCATAAAATAATATTAACTGCGTCTAAGTGTACCACAGAGCGAAAATACCCCTGTAAAGGAAATAATTTGTAAATTACCTCCAGTATAAAAGATGAACAATTTTCTTTTTACTAAATTGCTCTTTACACAAAACAAGTCAACATTTTTTAGTCTATTTGAATATAAATTTTGTGAACCTTCTCTTAAATCCACCTGAACAGATTGGGGAGTCTTGTTGAATATTGTGTCCACGCGTGTTTTGAAAACCCACAAATCCTCGATAATCAGACTGACTTGATACCATTGCTTGTACATATAATGTATTTGTTATCTTCATTTTATACACATCAGTTTTATCTTAAAATATGGCATTGCATGGTTCTAGAATAAATGTTAAATAACCATAGCCTTTTCAAACGCTATAAGTAATCTTCGTTTAGACTCTTAGGTTTCCTTGTGTTAGTTGTAATATATTAACTATATGTAATGCAATTTTTATTTTATCGCAGACCATTGTACTGTATTTGTATGCTGCCAACAAAGGGCGTATATACAATACAACTTTATCTTGAGTCGTTCATCATCTCCATTGCTAAAATAGATACATTAGTACTAGAATTGTTCGACTAGGTCATCACTATGATGAGGTGCATGGCAAAAGGATCAAAGTACACTTTGTTATCGGGCAAATATGATCAAGTCCGTAGAGATAAAGGACTGTGTTTATGTAAGGGAGGTAACTCTTTCAAAAAAATGTTATCTTCGGATTTTCTCCCAATTGATATGTATATAGCCCCCTGAAAGCATCATATTTAGACCGACGTTTTTAGACAAATGATTTATATGATTTATTGTACGTGATATTTTTATCACAGTACCAATTCGGTGTTTATTTTAAAGTAGGTCAATTAATTGTATCATACTTTAAGGGAGATAACTCTGTATCGTCGCCGTACTGATAAAACCATGTAATGTTTATTTGCAGACTTCAAAGAAATATGTCTTATAACTATTGCAGTATTTTCCTCTCATGACTTGATGCCATTACAGTATACATTACTTATTTTTAACATACTGGGTTTTATATATTGTAGTATGTTCATAAATTGCTTTCTAATATCAACTTCCATTAATTAATTGTCGCACATTTGAGGGACTTCGTTTCCAATTTTCGCAGTCCAACATCATGTAAGATTCATGAAAACCATAGTTTTGAGTGAAGATTACTAGATCTATAATATATGACATAAGGGCTTGCATATTCATAACTATGATCAAAGTTTTATGTTAAAATGAACTCATTAGGCATTGCATTTTAGCAACAGCTCAGTAGACACAGAGTCTAATTTCCATTAAGTCCGCCCGACTTGAGTGATATCTAAAATGAGAATGATAGCATTAATCCTTTTTGTGCCACTAGGTGAAAAAATGAAAATTATTCCGGTTCTACAGGAGTATATTTAGGTCAAAATATCATGTTTAAGTGCGTGTTCTGAAAATTGCTGAGAAATTCCACAAAATTTCTTAAAATCAATATCAATAACCCAAATACAACAAACAATTAAACCACACAGCTCTAATCAAGGGCAATAACTCATCAAATTTCATCAAAAAATATCTCAAGTTAGAACTTGTCCGAGATCTTATCAATTCCAAGGATCACACTTAGTTTCATCAAAATCGGTTGAAAACTGTAGCGTCTATTGTGCACACAAACGAATTGTGACACGTTTTTGATAAGTCAAGGGCAATAACTCAAAAACCGTTCATCGAAAATGCGTCAAGTTAGAACTTGTCCGAGATCTTATGAATTCTAATGATAACACCAAGTTTCATCAGAATCGGATAAAAAAAATGGAGCTTCAATCTTGCTCACGAACAATTTTTAACAAATTTCTAGGCGTTCTAAGTCAAGGGCAATATCTCCATAAATCGTTCATCGAAAAGATGTCAAATTCGAACTTGACCGAGATCGTATCAATCTATAGCATCACACCAAGTTTTATTAAAATCAGATAAAAACTGTAGTCTCTATAGTGCTCACAAGAAATGTTGACGGACGGACCGACGGACAGGGGCAACGACAATATACGACCACATATTCATGTGGGCGTATAAAAATGACCTGAAATTTATTTTATATTATTCTATACTACCTAAGAATAGTAGTAGCGATCGAGAGAATAAAAAAAAACATTACCAACGGAAAGCTGTTTATGTTGGACTAGAACGTTTTGACCATATGTTCATGCTGTTAAATAGGCCCACAGCATTTTAAATGAGTGTTTATGTAACATGAAATTGCCAAAGCTCTGCAAGTATTAAATCCAGCTATGCATTTTCATAAATTTTATACGACATTTGCATATGAGTGAAGTTCTTGTTTATCAAGGTCAGACTCATTGAATTGACTTAAGCCGGGTGTCCACTTGAGAGTAACTCGCAAGTGGAAGGTATTTTGCGTGCAACTGTTGGACAGTCGCAACCAACTCTCGATAGAACTGCTGAGAGCGATTTCTCTGAAGGGGGTCTCCTATAAAATGTCAGGCATCCGAACCCAGCTGTCGATAGAACTGCGGCGAGTGATTTTCTGAAAAGTGGAAGAAGGTCTGCTACAAACTGTCTAATACAGAATATGAAACTCGTCCTGTGCTTTAGGATGTTCAATCCACTGAGTTTCGAGACAGACAGAAAAAGAACGTTGCATGGAAGAACTGGCCGAATCGGTACAAAAAGACATTGGTGAGGTTCAGAGGAAGATCTACAATTTGAAGAATCAGTTTGCTCAAGAATTGAAGAAGTCGGGGTAAGGAACTGAATATAACTACACCACAACCTGGTCATACTTCCAGGCATTGATGTTCTTAAAGAAAGTGCATCTCTCACGTAAAACCACTTGCAACATGGTGAGAACATTTTATTTTTATTCTAAAATATTGTGTACATGTCAATAGACAATGAAGGTGCGCGTATGGCCCGTTTTGATATTCTTTTCGCATTTTACATATTTTGACAGTCACTAATACATCACATGATGATTGCTAGCTAATTGTTCGAGTGGAAAGGAATTACCGCCTGGCAATATCAAAGGTATTCTCGATAATGCGTCTAGCTCGGGATAATCTGTAGTTGAATTCCCGCTTTATTCGAAGTTGGTTTAGGAATGGATACGGTTTCATTATATTTTGCGCAAGGGAAAGGCATCATCGGCAAGCACCACATAAGGAACTTCCTTTTCGCGACCCTTAAAAATCCGGGCAGGAGGCACAGCAAGTTTATCTCCCTCCATAGCAGCTGACAACGCACAATTAGCAAATACTCCTCCATCAGCGATTCTACCATTACACCAGACGTCTATGAACGTGAACTTGTAATTAACATCGCCATCAACATGATACTGTAAAGTAAAAGTAGCTCCTGGACGATTAAAATTTGTCATTGAGTGCATGAGTATTATTAATTAATTTATTAATTGCAATGCGATTTGTTTGGACATTGTGATATGTCATAACCAAAATAGACAAACTCTCTCGTAGCACATGAATAATTTTCTTTGGAGATTGTTTCAAAATTTGAATGTGTTGCTGTAGGCGATTAACATCGTCCTCAGAGGCGGTACCAAAAAGTGAAGACAGAAAAAAAAAACAGCCAGGGGGCAACAAGGATCGAGAGAAACGACGAGTTGACGTGGTGTTAGGGTTTCGATTGGGTTGGGAAACTAACCGGCGAAAGTTATTAAACATTGCTTTTAATTTGGACAAGGAAGACGTTGATTGAAGCAACTGACGGGAAAATAGGGTTTCTAGGGAGCCATGCACCCTTTTCAATTCTTGATATAAAGTATACTTCTTGTGCGTAAAAATGTTTTTGAAACAAATTCTTAATGACTTTGGGCATTCGACACACACGAATATTTTCAGGGGATAGAGCAAGCAGGGATAATGAACGTTTCATTGTTTGTAAATTGTAATCCAAGTCCTTAATTTGATTTTCATAAAAGGAAAGGTGAAAATGGAAATTTAGTATCCAGTTAGAATAGCTGACATAAACTTTATTCAAATGTACGTACTACATTAACTTTAAGAACTTCTGGTTATGCAACGTACTGCATGAACGATAAGAACTTCTGGAGCAAATTAAGCTCAACCTTTGCTCGCTTGTCAGGCACAGAGCTAGTATCGGAAACTGAGCAGGTCTTTCATCACGTAATGTATTCAAGGGTAATCGGAACTAGACCATGAACTGTTCGACTGTGTGTCCATGTCTGAGTCGGATGCATAAAGGGATTTGGATGAACTACTTCATCCCCCTCGTCTTCATTCCTCACAGATGAGAAAGGTTCAGTCACCTTTGGGAATAAATCCTTTTCATTATCCTCGGATTTTCGGGAATCCATATACCTCATTGGAAACCGCGACAACAACTTGGCATAACGTAGCGGTTGTTGTCGTGTTCCAGTTGTTTCAATGACCTTGGGCTTAGGCAACTTTGATATAGGGCGGTCTTCATTCCATGAGTCGGGAAAGGCAGCTCGCAGATTTTCCCCATGAACAAAACGAGTTTTTCCAGTGAGTTGATTGCGAATTCTAAAATTTACTGGTGATGTTTGTTCAATGATACGAAAATGTGGTCGCCACTTTAAATGAAACTTGGATGACTTTTTGGGAGGCATTGCAGGGTTGTAATAATATACTGGGTCGCCGACCTCAAATTGTATATCCTTTGCCTTTATGTCACAAAATTTTTTTTGTTCTTTAATCGACTCTTTTCCGCACAAAATGCGACCCCCGAATACCTGAATTTGGGTCTTAACATGCAATCAAACGGCAGCAACGGATCACGTTCCTAAACGAAATAAATATGGTGTAAATTTGGTATTGTTTTTAGTGTTTTTTTGTAGTCATTAAATGACCTTTCTGTGATATTGATAGGTGTTTTATTGTTTTAGTTTTTTTTTATTTTAACGTATTCTGGAGCTATTTAGCCCGTTTGGTGCTGATGCCCCTTAATGCATTTCATTTCATTTCATTTTATCGAGGTGCGATAACTAAACAACATGCCTGGCATAGAGGTATCCCAATCGTCATGAGAGGAATTAACATACCTTGAGATACAGCCATTTAGATATCGGTGAAATTGTTCCGTACTACCGTTGGTTTGAGGATGATAAGGACTAGTTTTTAAATGTTTGATTTTCAGGACTTTAGTAATTTGCGTTTTTACTTCAGAACAAAACTCAGTACCTCTATCTGACAGAATAACGGAAGCGTGGAATGGCAACCTCCAAAGTACTTTTATTAAAAAAAGGGGTAAACCTCAGGTCATCCTGAAAAGAAGTCTGATATGGTAATCATATACTTATACCTTCTGGAGTTTCTGGATAGGGTCCACATGTGTCAATGCCAATGAACTCGAAAGGGAATTCAGGTTGGGGCAAAGATTGCAATGGTAATTTTTGCTTACATTTCTGCACATGTGCCACTACATCTTTGTACATACCTGTCCAGAAGTATCGCGTTCGTAATCTATCGTACATCTTATCAATGCTGGAATGCGAACTATATTTATGCTCATGGAACTGTAAAAGAATTTCATATTGCATGTCCTTGGGAACCACCAATTGCAAACGTGGGTTCGGATCATTTGAAGTTAGTTTTGCAATGTGATAAATGAACTTGGAAGCATAGTCAGCAGTGTCCTTATTTAAAACCCCAGTTTTCAAAAGCCTATGTAATGTTTTTAGTTCCGGATCATTGTGTTGTAAACGTGGAACATCAACATTGTCAAATTCAGAATCAGAATCGGTCTCGTCAATAGCATCATCAACGTCTTTCATTTTTGTTTTCTGTAATTTGTCAATATCGATGACAGCTAACTCAGCGTCTATACTATCGTGTACATAAGGTACGTTGTCATAATTAATCCTCCACAACATGTCTGCACGTGAATTACTGCTGCCGCTAGTATATTCAACGGTGCAATTCATTTCGTCTAGAATAATAGCCCATTTTTGTATGCGGTAATTTTTCATCTCTGAGGAAAACAGAAATCGGAGAGGTTTATGGTCCATGTAAATGGTAAATTTGGCACCTAATAAATAAGGTCAAAGTTTTAGTACACAGTACACAATATCATAGCCTTCCCTTTCGATTGTTGGCCATTGCTGTTGCCCATCGCTGTTGTCCATCTGATAGTTGATGAGAAATACACTGAATGACCCTTCAAGAAAACTCTTGTGTTAAAATACCTCCGATAGCATATCCTGATGCGTCGGTATATAACTTATAGGGTTTTTTAGGGTCTGGAAAAGCCTAAATTGGAGCGACCAATAACTTTTGTCGTAAATCTTCAAAAGCTTTTTGAGTTACATCGTTCCAAATGAAAGTGGCGTTTTTCTTGGTAAAGCAATGAGAGGGTATGCCATGTCAGAAAAATTGTGAATAAATATTCGATAATAGCTAAGACAACCAATGTATGCTCGAATTTCCTTAATATTTTTAGGTGGTTGCATTTTAGTTATGGCTTCCAATTTTTCAGGATTGGGAGCTATGCCATTCTTAGATATTATGTGGCCTAAATACTTAATTTCAGGTTTCAAAAACTCACATTTTGAAGGCTTCAATTTCAAACCTGTTTTTTTTTTCAATCTATTGATACCTGTTTTTTTTTCAATCTATTGAAAACTTCATCAATGTGTAGCAGATGTTCCTCAAAAGTGTTTGAATGAATGATGATAACATCGATAAAAACCTTGACATACTTGTTTAACAAACCACTCGTTACTTTATCCATTAAACCCTGAAAAATACTAGGTGCCGTTAAAATGCCAAATGGCAATCTATTAAATTCAAATAAGCCCATAAAACTGGTAAAGGCTGTTTTTGGGTTTATCCGATTCCTGCAACTCTATTTGCCAAAAACCATTCTTCAAATCAAGGCAGCTGAAGAATTGGGATCCAGACAAAGAATTTATTTAATCTTCCACATGTGGTAATGGATAACTATATTGCCTAAGTTATTCGTTCAACTTTCGGTAGTCGACATAAAACCGTAAGCTAGAATCTGGCTTTAAAATTAGCACCACCGGAAACGAATATTCGCTGTCGGAAGGTCGAATAATTCCAATCTCAACATGTACAGCCCTACTAGTCATACAAGTAAACAAGCATCCATGTCGTTTGACGCTGCTTCTTCCCTGCTTTACCATCAAGGGTCCAAAATAATCAATACCCACAGCAGAGAATGGGGGTTTGTCTATTTCAAGTCTGTGTTTAGGCAAATCCGCCATGAATTGTGCTGCAGGATGTTTAGATCTACTGACAAATAACACACTTCGAAATGACTTGCTTCACTTCACTGCCGAACGACCTTTTACGACCCAATAATTTTGTCGTAAAGTTGACAATACGGGTTCTTGTCCCATGTGACCGACTGATTCATGAACTTCTCGAATGGTCACATGGTTTTTGTATGGCAATATAATTGTATGCTTAACAAATCCAGATAATTGTACATTTTCTAACCGTCCACCGACACATGAAATTATTGTTCCATGTAGGATTAGTAAAGTCGAACCACACTCCTTTAAAGGTTTCTTAACATTCGAAAGAAAGACTTTCACAGTTTCAAAATTTCAGTTTCGGCGATTTTCAATTCGTTTACTGTCAAATAATCTGTCAAATTAGTATCCAACACTCCATTTTGTAAAGTTTTCAAACGCAAAATGAACGCAACCGCTCTCTTAAGTTTCCAGAAAGATGAGTAATGATTAAAAAGGTTCTCTATCAAATCATCTGCTTCATGTTTAACAACATAGACTACAGCTTATTTCCGAACCTCTGGATCAGTATCCAATAAAACTGGAATATTCGTAATTTTAGGCCACAGATACTCTTCTTTGGATAAAAATTCTGGTTCAGTCAACCATCCGTTGTTCTGTATGAAAGATTTTAATTTCAGTCCTTTGGATCCATCATCGGCAGGATTAATATTCCATTCCACATAGCGAAATTGCGATGGATTTGCTGCCGAATGAATTACAGTTAACCGATTAGAGTCGAACGTATGGAATCTCTTATATTCATTGTTTATGCATTTGAGCACAGACATAGAATCAGTCCAATAAACTATAGCATTATAATAAGGAAATATCAACCTTCGTTTTCTACTGGAAAGATGTCGCGGACGATTTGGTTGTGTTTAGCCTTTCAGCTTGGTCCAAAAGTCTGTTTTAAAGGCTTCGTTGGTCCAGTATCATCTTTAGAAACCAACCCAATCGGGCAAATAGTCAGCCAACAAATGCTTGACCAAAATTTGGAGTTGTGCGGCATCTTACATTCAATGTCCACTGGACACTCCAGTTCATTTGCTATCTGTACGAGGGGTGTAAGTATTTTTGTTGGAATTTTTCAATAAAGTGAGTCCCCGAATACTACAGTTTGAGCATGTTGAAGATCCCTCGACAGTTAAAAAAATCGAAAATAAGAATCCCCAACTGCACACTGCAGGACGTTCGCGCGTCCTCCTCGTGCTACTTTCTATAAGATTTTGTATGTATGAACTGTGAGTTGTCTTGTATTCAACTATAACCTGAAAGACAACATGGTTGTCCGGTCAAAAAAATCCAATTAGCAAGCAGAGTTTAGGTTAAAATAAGACAGTCTGGAGTGATGGAAGCTCAGAGACAGTTAAGATATAGGAAAGAAATAGAAGCAGTGAAGTGTGACTTTCACTGGTTTTAAGATTGATACAGTGACTGAGAATAACAAATTACAATTAATCTACATTAAATTTTACCCTTCAACATGTTTATTCTTACAGGAGCAGGCGAACTACATATCTAGTACATCTCATCTCCTCGCCTATTTTTTTGTGCTGATTTTTTTGCAGTTTGCACAAAAAAGATTTCAATGTAAAACTTAAGGTTTGACAAAAACGTTTTGTTAAAATTTGCTATTCTAAAAAGTAAAGGAAATTTCTTTAAAATAACAAAACCACAACAAATATACAGATTCAAGACAATCTGCCTTACTGCCTTTATTCCATACCTTGTGTCAAAAATACCATAATTGTGTTAGTTTTATATTGAAAACTTTAGCGTGTTTTTACCGTTTTTATACCAGTGTTTATTTCATAACAAAAAAAAAATAGTTTTAAAAATGCTTAAACTGAAATACGTTATACAAAATGGCTGACTGTTTGCCCCAGAGCCAACAAGATTAATCCGACAATCGAACACAGGACGACTGGTGAAATAAAGATTTTAACTAACATCTTAAAAACTGTTTCCCTCATAAGCTTGTTTGACTTCCCAAGTACCCGTCTCGCCATTCCCAGTGTAGCCAGCTCCACAGTTAAATCTTAACTATCCACCATATGAACTGGATTCTGTTACTTAATCAGAGTTATTGATATTCTCACCTTGTGGACATTCTACAGCTGAAATATTGGATTCTGTAATGATATCCACATTATATCAATACAAAACTCGTTAGCAATTTAATCACCTTATTTCAAAAATTTTTCCTCGGGATTTTTTTTTTTAATTTTTGGAATCATTACAATCAATTTTGAAATTGGAAGGGATAAATTTTGAAATTTTGTATAACGATTACAGAATTTGCTAAGTTTTCGCAATTTTCTGCTCTAACTTAACGAACTAAAAAGGTCAAA